GCTCTGAGCCCGACCAGGGGCTGCACCTAGGGATTGGGCCTGCCCTCTGCCACCTGGGAGCAGGCCTAAGCCAGCTGGTCGTTATCTCCCGAGGGGTCCCAGACTGCGAGAGGGCACAGGCCAGGCTGAGGGACCCCCTTTCCCCCCCGAGTGCACAAATTTTTGTGCACTGGGTCTCTAGAATATATAAAAAAGCCTAAGCGATCAAATGACGGGTAGCATTGACATGCACTGACCATCAGGGGCAGACACTCAATCAGTGTGCTCCCACAGCCAACCTCTCGCAGCCGGCCATCCTCCTAAGGTTCCTCCCCCTGCACTGGGCCTCTAGTACATATATAAAGGTAACCTTAGTAAAGAATATAAATAGGGGAAAAAAACTATACTTCATTAACATAAGTAGGTAAATTGAAAATGCTGTTACTACTATCCTCGATTCTTCTCACATATAAAATTCTGCTTTCAGGTATATATGTGACAACAATTCTTCTGTCCTCTTTCAGTATTTTATCTAAAAACTGTACTATGTAAAAAAATTAAAATAATTTTGCTCAAAAATAATGATCTAGAAGTACTAAAAAAAAAAAAATAGATGGAGCCTTCCATAGAATTGGTATTGTATATCTGACTTTATAAAGAATACAAAGATGGTAGTTTACAGACTGATTTTATTTATTTATATATTTTTAATCCTCACCCAAGGATATTTTCCCATTGATTTTTAAAGAGAGCGAAAGAGAGAAAGACCGAGAGAAATATCGATTTAAGAGAAACACATTGCTTACTTGCCTCCTGCATGAGCCCGGACCAGGCAGGGCCTGGGCTGGGGAGGAGCCTGCAACCGATGTACATGCCCTTGAGCAGAATCGAACCTAGGATCCTTCAGTCCGCAGGCCAACGCTCTAGTCACTGAACCAAATTGGCTAGGGCTACACACTGTTTTTATAAAGAATATAAAACAGCCCTAGTTGGTTTGGCTCAGTGGATAGAGCATTGGCCTGCGGACTGAAGGGTCCCGGGTTCAATTCTGGTCAAGGGCACGTGCTCAGGCTCAATCCCTAGTAGGGGGCATGCAGGAGGCAATCAATCAATGATTCTCTCTCATCATTCATGTTTCTATCCTTCTCTCCCTCTCCCTTCCTCTCTGAAATCAATAAAAATATATTTAAAAAATATATATAAAACGTAACATACCCAGAGTTCAATTTCTTGATGTCTGTTCTACTGAATTACAACTCAAACACTTTTTTAGCTGTTATACCATTTTAAAATTACATTAGCAGCAACTGTAGTTGAAATATAAGTCATATTTATTCCTACCTGAGAACTCCATCTATTTGGTCTCTGGTGTAGCCTTTTCCGTCACCACTACCAGTCGTGCTGTCCTTTGTGCAATTAGGCTTGCTTTGATCAGCACTACCTGATGGTTTTCGGCAATGAGGGCTATTTCCAGCTGTGCTTCCATTTTTCATAATTATTTCCAATAGGGCTGTAGAAAGATACAAAAAACACTATGTCTGTTTACATATATATGATCTTGAGAAGTTATAAAGCTGACAAATTAAGAATCATGTACGCCATAAAAATTCTCCATACCATCTTTTTAAAGAGTAAGCGTTCCCTTATGTATTTAACTGTTTACAGAACACTAATCACAATTTAAAAGTAGAATAACAAGAAATTTAAAACTAATACCTCAAAATTACTATCATTCAGTTACTTATGACACTTTTATTTGTCATATCATGATAAAACTGCAGAATACCAAAGAAAAAGTAGTTGATAAGATTATCTACAAAGAAACAGAAATTAGACTTCCTATTTCTTCTTCAACAGCAACAGTGGCAGCTAAAAGACACTGAAATAATATCTTCAAAATGCTCAGAAAGCGTTAACTTTCAACTCAAGTTCTGCACTAATTTTCTAAAAAGGCAGATTGGAAACATTTTTAAACAAACAAGACCAAAAATTTTACTTCTAAGATTTTAAAGGGTGCTATAATATATTAGGAAGAAGAAAAATGCTTCTAGACAGGTTGTAGAAGGGAATGGTGAGCAAATACTTTGATAAATGTATGAGTAAATATAAACACTAAGTCTATAAAATAATAATAGTATGTCCAGAATTTGATTTAAATACTGATGGGCCATAAAAGAGAAGGTAGAGAGAATATATAAAATAAGATTGACCATATATATATTCATAATCATTAAGATGGGAGGGTGATAGGAACTGATAATATTATTCCCTCTCCTATGAATGTGTGAAACTTAAAACTGTGTGTAAGTTAAAACTATACATTAAAAAAAACCATGCCACTTCATACCTACTAGGAAAACCTGGAATCCTAATATACTGTTGGCGAGAATGTAAAATATGTGGCAAGTTTGAAAAAACATTTGGTTGTTCTTTAAAAGATTAAATACATAGTTACCATTTGACCCAACAATCCTATCCCTGGGTATATACCCAAGAGAAATTAAAACATACATTTACACAAAAACTGGCTCACAAATGTTCATAACAGCATTGTTGATAACAGAAAAAAATGGAAACAATCCAAATGTCCATCAACTGATGAGTAGATAAATAAAATGTAATATGCCCAATGGAATATTATTTAACAATGAAAATATATGAACTACTGATATACACTACAACATAGATAAACCTTGAAAACATGCTTAGTGAAAAAGTCACTAAAGACCATATTGTTTAATTCCATATATATGAAATATATAGAACAGGGGAATTTACAGAGACAGAAAGTAGATTAGTCATTGCCAAGAGCTAGTGGGAAGGGAACAGTGGAATTAGGAAGAAATAAGGAGTGACTGCTAGTGTGCAAGGGGTTTCCTTTTGAGGCAAATAAAATGTTCTAAAAGTGATTGTTGTAATGGTTGTACTCTGTGAATATAATAAAACCCACTAAATGGTATGTTTTAAGAAAAGTAATTGTATAGTATGTGAATTATATCCAATAAAGCTTTTCTTATATAATAAAAGGCTAATATGCAAATTGATCAAAAAGCGGAACTGGTCGCTATGACACGCACTGACCACCATGGGGCAGACACTAAATGCAGAAGCTGCCCTCTGGTGGTCAGTGTGCTCCCACAGGAAGAGTGCCGCTCAGCCAGAAGCTGGACTCCTGGCTGGCAAGTGCAGTGGCAGTGGCGGGAGCCTTACCTGCCTCTGCAGCAGCACTAAGGATATCAGACTGCTGGCTTAGGCCTGCTCCCTGTGGGCCTAAGCCAGCTGTGGACAAACTACGGCCTGCGGGCCGGATCCGGCCCATTTGAAATGAATAAAACTAAAAAAAAAAAGACCATACCCTTTTATGTAATGATGTTTACTTTGAATTTATATTAGTTCACACAAACACTCCATCCATGCTTTTGTTCCGGCCCTCCATTCCAGTTTAAGAACCCATTGTGGCCCTCGAGTCAAAAAGTTTGCCCACCCCTGGCCTAAGCCATCAATCAGACATCCCTCAAGGGCTCCCGGACTGCGAGAGGGCACAGGCCAGGCTGAGGGATCCCACCCCCAGTGCACAAATTTTCGTGCACTGGGCCTCTAGTATATATATATATAAAATCCTAGCAGTGTCATTGGTAAATTTGCAAATATATATATATATATAAAACAGGGTGAGCAAACATAGGCTTAGAGTTGCTAGTATGCAAAATTTTATTTTTATATTGTTATTTATTAATTGTTGTATTATTTATTTGTATTACAACTATTAACCTACTTTTACCCACTCCTCTCTCTTTCTATATATATATATATACACACACACACACACACACATATATACATATACATTGTATGAGAATTTCTTTCTACCATATTTTTCCCTAGCTAATGAATTTAAGAGGTCACCAAAGATATAAGAAATTGAGATTTTGTAACAATCTAGTAGTAGATGGTACAGAAAGGCTCCTAATTATACAATCTATTATTAACAAATTAAGTATAATATCTATCTATTTATCTATCTATCTATCTATATTATACAGGGTGTCCCCCCCAAATGTGTACACACTATAAAGGCAGTTTATTAAAATATTAAGAGGCCTGGTGCACAAATTCAATCACAGGTGGGGTCCCTCAGCCTCACTGGTGATCAGGGTCGTCTTGCCCATTCCCGATTGAGGCCGATTGGGGCCGGCCTGCTGGAGGGACTACGGGAGGTTGGCCGGCCACGGGAGGTTGGCTGTGGGAGCACACTGACCACCAGGAGGCAGCTCCTGCGTTCAGCATCTGCCCTCTGATGGTCAGTGCATGTTATAGTGACCGGTCGACCAGTCGTTTGGGCGTATGGTCGCTTAGGCTTTTACATATTTATATATATATACACACACACACACACACACACACACACACACATAAAATATATATATTGCATTTTCAATATGTAATAGAATCTACAGCTATCAGCTATTAAAGTGTGTATACATTGGGGGGGGGGCATGCTGTAGTATATAGTCAGTTTTTAACTGCAGTTTCTTACTTAATGCAAACACAATGTTAACCTTGAGGTCAGAAGACTGCATGGTCCATGAGATAGTGGTTCACAACTTTTAAATATGAAAAATTTTATGAGAATTCTAGAAGTAGACTGTGACAGCAACTTAAAATTTAAATCTCTGCAAATTCCCTCATAAAAACTGAGCAATTAAATAGAAAAATCAAAACCTCATGCACAATATTCCAAAATACAAGAGAGTGGGCACAACCCACCAATAGATCTATGTGGGTAGTACAAAGAAGACGATAGTAATAGGGCATTTGTCCTTCGACAGAACAAAAGAACTTCAAAATTACCAACAGGGACTCTATATACAGCACCACAGGCAAAATTAAGAAAAGTATATAAAAAGGAATCAGTTCTGCTCACTACAATAGAATGTGAGTGAACGGGTTCATAATAAACTCTTGCAGTGGTTCTCAACCTTCCTAATGCCACAACCCTTTAATACGGTTCCTCATGTTGTGGTGACCCCAACCATAAAATTATTTTCATTGCTACTTTATAACTGTAATTTTGCTACTGTTATGAATCATAATGTAAATATCTGATATGCAGGATGTATTTAGGCGACCCCTAT